GACAAGAGTTGGTATCATTACTGCAAGAAAACAAACCTTGGCCTAAGGCTTATAGGCTTAACCCTTCGAATGAGAGCAATCTGGAAGGGATCTTAAGGGTGGATGGGAGAGGAGAAAAATTTGCCTTAAATGAATAAAAATACAAGCCCTTAGCAAGGAGGTAATAGGGATTTTCTGAATGAGGCTTGTACCCCACAGAGGAAGGAGAAGGGCAGAATGCCACCCAGGTCAGAGGACTCGCCAAGCACGTTCCAAATATGCTTGAAATAGGAAAAAGTGGAAATTGGCCAGCCCCGGTGTTAAAACTGAATGGGAGCTTTTGAAGAAGGCAATAACACAAAATGGTCCTCGTACTCCAGGCATGCTTCTTGTACTCCAGACTTAAAATAAATGGTGTGTCCTTGTTTTAAATCATGGGTAGTGTTAACTTCCTCCTCCCCAAACAACCCTAGATTAGTCTAACAGTTTAGTGTGAGTAAGGCCATCAACCAGCTAATTTGGCTAAACTACTTTTGACCACCTTGGAGGTCTTCCTTAATTTGGTGGGTGGTCATCTTCTGAATTCTTTCCAGGTATTGTAGATGTGAAAGAATTATTGAGATCTAGAAAATCCCTCTCCACCTCCTTTACCCATTTATTTTCCTGCCCAAATAAACCTTGGCCACAGTTGTTAACTTGAAGTCTTAAGAAGTAACCGTCCCCTTGTATTATCCTACCGTCCTCTACCACTGTGAGATGAATCAGTGTTGAGCTGGTGAAGATGGGGCGGTGGGTCTCAAAGAGGAATTCCCGGGTGATATTACAGGTGTAGATCCCTGAATCGTTGAGAGTGACGTTGAGGACTGAGATAGAGACGTCCTGCATATCTGCACTTCCGTTCCACTCAAGCCGCCCGTGGAAGGGGCTTTCAAGTTCCCGTTTCTCATTCTTGTATTCATAGATCTGTAGAGTTCCAGAAAGGGGAAAAGACAGTCACTCTCAAGCATCTACCCTACCATCTTAATCCTTCATGTACTGTAGGGAATGAAACTATTCAGAGGATTTATTTGGAACTGTCTTTGGTGATCTCCCCATTTGTGGGACTAATCCTACAGTATTAGAGCATTACGGTATTAGAAAATGGGTAACCAGGAGTTTAGCATGGCTATCCATATCTTAACCTCCACCTTTACCATGTTTGCCTCCAAACATAGTCCAGCATTTGACATACAGTAAGGAACCTAAATGATAGCCCTTAAAAATGTTGTAAGGAGACCAAGTTGAAAAGAAGTCCCTATTGTGCTTCATACAAAAGTGGTGTCCAAGACTTGGCTTCAGATACTTTGCAGATAGCAGCCTCCTTTATTCCCAGAAAAACGTATTAAAAAGTGAAGGTCTCCTTCGAGCATTCTGGGCCATTGAAAATTGCCCCTGGATATTTAAAACATAGTATTAGTTCAATTAAATTGCCACTGATCCACCAGGAATGTATTCTTGGTCTCCTGGCACAGACCGTTGTTTTAGTTGTTATTCTACCTGATTTTTAGTGCTGAAAAAGGACCCCAAACTTTTCTATTAGGTTCCTAGAAAGAATTGCTCTGCACAGCAAAGGCTGAAAATATGTTTTTCTACAAATTTAAGGGGATGGAAATCCAATTATTCAAGTGGTTCTCTAAATCATAAATGCATATAAAAACTGCATAAAAGTGGATCAAGCAAGCCACCTCATCTATACTTTGTAAGTTAGAGTGGCATTTGATAAATGTCCTTGAACATGGCATCTTATTTTCGGGGATATACTGGCATGTAAGATGCCTATAAGTCATAGCAAGTGCCAATCAATTGCAGAAGCTTCTAACTTTGCCCATCATTTTGCCTGAAGATAGAATCAAATGCTGACTTCAGATCTATGAAATGTCTTATAAATATCTTATACTTATGATATAAGAAAACTGTGGTATTTTTAGACTACTTCTCAATTAAATGTTGGAATTATGTACAGCGTGATCAATAGTAGATTGACCCCCCCTAAAACAAACCTGTTCCTTGGCTAAAAAGATGTTCACCATGCTCCAGCCAGTCTCTCAATTTCCAGGTTTAAGTGCTTAGCATAAAGATGACTGACTAGGCTTGATAGGCCTATAATTTTTTTGGGTCATCCTTCCTGCTGTTTCTAAAAAGGGGGATGATAAATACAATCCACAATCCCTAGGGATCTACTTATCAAAAGATGTGAACGGTGAGCCTCAGATTGGACCCCATCATGTAAGGTTATTTTTTATCAGCTCCAGTGGGATGAAATCATTTCCAGCAGCCTTCCCAGATCTTAACTGGGAAATCAAATTATGAACGGCAGCTGCCATCACCAGGGGCCAATCTGATATGCTCTCTGGATCCAGCCTAGGACTTCCAGAAAACAGGAAACTTCAACCCTGTATAATTCACTAAAATATCTCTTCCAGGCCTCTGGTCTTAACTTGGAAGATCTGCAATCATTTGCCAAAACAAAGTAGAGTTATATTCCAGCTTCCTGAAACAAGATGCTGCTGTTCTTTAATGACATCTCTTATTCTCTTATCTTACTCTGAAGCAGTTGCTGTTGCTGTTGCTATTGCTGTTGCTGTTGTTATTATTATTATTATTATTATTATTATTATTATTATTGCTGCTCATGGATGTCCTGAGCAGCTGTTACTCTTGTGTCCATTTTTATATGCATTTTGACCATCAAGTTTTGTTTTTGTAGCTTTAGCAGATTTGGAATCATTCCATGATTTGGAGCAATACTGAGGCCAATAGAGTTGGGCAGTATTTAGAGCAGTTTTCTCAACCGTGGCAACTTGAAGATGTGTGGACTACAACTCCCAGAATTCCCCAGCCAGCCAACTGGCCTAAATTCACCCCATGGGCATGCAAGGGTGAGGATGGATTCAGATCTAAGTCTCCCCAGACTTAATCCATTCCTCCAATCACTACCACATACCCACCCTTTATAATATTGGGAGATTTTCCCCGTCTTTTGCCAGAACACCTATGGCAAATGAAAGTAGTGTTCTCCTGCAAACGTACAGCAACAAAATCCTGCTGTTGTGAATCACGTTCCATAAATAAAGAAGCCTTTTTAAAGGGCTTCCCTTTTAGAGTTTGATTGTATTCAGAAAGAAGATATTCAGGTCCATCAATCTTATTCTCCAAAAAGCCTTACCCTAATTAAAATCAGCATGGTCGTTTGCTATCACGACAGCATCTCCAACAGACAAAATATCTACCATCTTAAAATATTTTAAATGAGATCTCCCCTCCCACTCATCCTCTGTGCAGATCCTACAATTTGGAAGGTTCTCCTAACATTTAGCTGAAATCTGCAACCTTTCTGAGATCCTGTTCCCATTTTTCCATCTCACACAGTCCGAGTTCGAGGTACAGAAGTAATCACTCACAGCTACATCTTGTCCTCCTTCAGCCTTGTAAAACCATTTCACCATGGTGTTTGCAGAAACCTCTTCTCGCTTCATGCAAGAAATGCACATTAGCTTCATGCGCGATCCCTGCACGGCCTCTGTCTCTGAAGGGACTTCAACACAAACGGCAGAACAGATGCCCACTGGATAATGATGGAAACGATGCAAGCCAAGCCCAGTTTGAAGGTGGAGAAGAAGTGGGACAAGGAGAGACCCAGCCGTTGCCAAGTTAGAAAAGAAAGAAAAAGGAAGATAAATGCACACGGACACATGAAAGTGCATGCTACTCAATTTTTTTTTCTTGCTGAATGAAAATGAAGCTTTTAATTTATTGCTGGAGTGCTTGAAAAAGGATTAAAAACTAACATTGGAAAAAGCTTCCTTTTCCCAGATGATCCCAGACCATAATCTATATTAATGACCAACTTGGGGCAGAACTGACTAGAACTCTTCAGATGGAATCATCCAGGGTTGCTGAAGAGCAGGAGGTTCAGGACAGATAGAAGTGATTCTTTGCATAGTGTGTAAACTATGAAATGTATATAAGGTTCTACGGAAGTTGCTGAGCTATACTCTTCATCTGGTATGGGAGGACTGGGAACGACTGGGCAAACTCCCAACAATCCAAGAGTTTCTAATGAGTGATTTTTATAGTTATGAAGCTATATCATTCTAGCAACTCATTCTTTCAAGGACAAACCCTATTTATAGATTCAGCTATAATTCACTACAGCAGGAGACTTAATCTGCACGCTAGTTGAGAGGATTTTTCAGTTCATCAAGGTCTGAAGAGTTACAGGCTTCTATAACACACGTATAAGTCGGTTACTAACTTGAGTCAATGTTATAGGTTAGATCATGCTGGCTGGGGAATTCTGGGAATTGAAGTCCACACTTCTTAAAGTTGAGAAACACTGGGTTGGATGATGGCTGATTGTCATGAGAGCTATCCACTACCTCTAGTACTGGACAAAACCAAACCTCTGATTGCTACTTTTCAGAGACACATAAGTGGGGGGTTGCTACTTTCTTCATATGAACTGTTGGAACAAAATGCTAAACTATAGAAGATATTGGTTTGACCCAGCATGGCATTTCCTGGAAGAAATGCTGCTCAGCTATTTGAACTTTCTTTCTTGTAGATGAACAGGCAGTGTATATTACACCCTTTGCAGCTAGCATCCAACAGTGGCAGATCCTTTGTGCTAAAGAAACTGGGTAGCTGTATCGCCCAGAGACATGGAGCTCAAGAAAAAAAAAAAATACAGATTTCCCTGAGTCAGAAAATGTCAGATTGTTCTAGGATTTTATATGCACCAAAGGGGATTTCTGTGTAGGATTTTTTAAAACACCATGAAGTCTCATCTGCCTGAACTAGGGGAACCCACTCATCCTCTGTGCAGA